GACTCTTACCTCTTGTAATCTCCTATTTAAGGAACTGAAATTATTGAATAAAAATATCAAATTTCCAGTCAAGAAAGAGAGTAAAAGGAGAGTTTGGTGATCTCTTGGACAAATCACCCWCTAGGACGCCAAGATAGGTTCAGCTAGGAAGGGGAGGAACAAGGGAAAACAGGAGCTTTTCCCCGTGGACCGACCCGTAACGAGATCCTATTCCCGGGCCCATAACACATCATACCTGACAAAGTTAAGAAACAAAGGACGGATACAATAAATTTCTTTCTAAGGTGTGGATAATGTAGCCCAACATGATAGACCCACATTCCATAGTGCCATGAATACTTGCTATCACCTCATGCCATAGTCTATCTCTCTCTAAAGGCCATCTCCAAAGACTAGTTCTTTGGATCCAGGTTTCCCAACAGAGCTGCATTCTTTAGATCCAGGTTGCCCACATAGTTGTCAAGGCGATGCCTAGGCGACTGGGCGCTTTTCAAAGAGCACCTCCCCCAAACGCCAAGAAAAAATGTATTAGGCACATGCTTAGGGGACTGAAACACATATATAGTATGCAATATTTATTAAATAAAAATAAATATATAATATATAATATTTTATTGGTTGGTTTTAGTTTTTATAATAGGGCATGTTGCATGTTATCATGTTTTTGTTGCAAGTAAAAACAAAATAATCTCAAGAGTTTCACTTTGACAAAAGAATCGAACTGAGGAAGCGGAGAGAACAGCCCTCCATCGTTCCAACACAGTCCTCTAAGTCAAGGTGAGTTAATCAGTTTCCTCCTTTGCTTTGTTCTCTTTTTTCCACTGTTTTAAAACAATGGTTACGCCTCATTTTTCTCCTCTTCCTTTCTGTTGGACTAAAACCATTCTCCTTTCCTGGTTTGAATCATATTATTGGACTAAAACAGGGGCTCCACCCCCTTCTTTTGTTCTTAAATTTCTTGCATGTTTTCAGCTTTTTTCCCTCATTATTGGTCTCTGAAACAGGGGCTCCGCCCCTTCTTTTATTCACCATATTCTTCTTTTATTTTAGTTTTTTTTTCACCAGCTTTTCTGGGTCTAGAACAGGGGCTCCGCCCCCTTCTTTTGTTCTTAACTTCTTGCATTTTTCAGCTTTTTTTTGTTTTCACCATTGGTGTCTGAAACAGGGGTGGAGCCCCTTCTTTTCTTCTTCACATTTTTTCTTTTATTCTAATATTTTTTCACCAGCTTTTCTGGGTCTAGAACAGGGGCTCCGCCCCTTACTTTTCTTCTTTATTTTCTTCTTTTATTTTAGTAATTGTTCTCATCAAGAAACACAAAGGTAAGTGCAGAATACATAAAACCAAAAAAACTAGTTCAGAAGGGGTAGAAATCCATCAGCTTCTTATTTTTAAATTCCATCACCTAGGCACCTAGGCGCCTGGGCTCGCCATGGTTGCCTAGCCTTGCCTTGGTGCCTTGAAAACTATGATTACCCAATCCCAACCTACCTTCTTCTTTTCTCCTACACACTAGTTCCCACCTTATTAGCACTCCTCTTCATTCATTGAAGCTTTAACTCCATGTCTTGGGATAGCCACTTGAACTTCTTCCCATCGGCAAATTCCAAAAACCATTCTCCTCTTTTTGCAGCCAACCAATAACCAGCTTTGAGTCGCCTTCAACAATCAACTTTCTGATATTCAATTCTTTTGCTCTTTTACCCCTTCCATAACTACCATAACTTCAGCTCTGAGCGAGTCTCCCATTCCAAATAGGACCTGAAAATAATGCAATTATGTTCCCTCCCTCATCCCTAAAAACTCTTTCAACACCAGATGGGTCCAAGTTACCTTCACCATCCCATCAAAATTCAGTTTTATGAACTCAGCTTCTGATCGGTACCATAGTGGACATCTCAAAGTTGAGAGGAGCAGAATTGGCCACTTCCTTCCAGTTTCTAGCCAAAACATCAGCAGAAATGCTCTCAAATATTCTCAAGATTTCACCTAGTGGATCACCTTGCCAGTAATAGTTTCAAAAATGGCTTATTTGATTCTTTCCTTTTCAAAGAAAAAATCTCTTATTCCTTTCTTCCCAAATTGTCCAGCAAACAACATCCCTTACACATCTCCACAACAACCCCTCTTCATTGGCCCCCCAACAGAGCAAGAAGCAAACAAGCTTTGTACAGTTGGAGGGGGAGTCCACCTGCAACCAAACAAAGAAGAGCACCAAACCCAAATAGCTGAAACAAAGGGTCAGGAGATTAATAAGTGATAGCAGCTTTCACCATTGGCCCTACAAAGAATGCACCAGTTGAAGTGCCACTAAAATATCCAATGACTATAGTTAACATAGGAATTACTGCTCAGAAATTAATAGATAATAGAGACCTCAATAGTAGTATTGAGAAGACAGCTTTTTTGGTAACATTAAGTGTTTCATGAAAAGATAATCAAAACTTCATTGGTATGGAAACCACAAGCAGTGTAGAAAGTTTTCAACATGAAATTTTTTTTCAATATTGTTTGGTTCAAGGTTCAAAATATCGATACGCCCAATACGCCAATATGGGCGTATCGGGCGAATCAATACTATATTTTTTAGTTTTTTTAATTTTTTTCTGAAACCGGTTCAGGGGGGGCAGTTTAGGTCTCCTCCATCCCCTGAACCGGTCAGACCCCCGATATACCCACTATAAGGGCGTATCGGAGGGGTCCCAGAACGATACGTATCAGCCGATACGGGCCAATACGTGTCGATACTTTGAACCTTGGTTTGGTTTATAAACAGATGAATACAGGCATAGCCACATGACATAGAAGAGAAATTTGTTTTTGGTAATAAATAAAAAAGGAAGATTTTATTAAGAAAGAAGAGAATACAACAAAGGTGACAAGAAACCACCTACAATAAAGAAAAAACAACCCACAAACCCAAGAGAAATAGCATTGATTATAACAGAAATGAGAGATAATGTCCACTTTTGACACCTAGAATTACAATAAGAAATTAAGAAACAAACCTGCCAATCTGGTTGAAGGGCAGTTGAATTAGCAGCTAGTTTACTAGACAATTTTCTCTTCAATCCCTCAATTTCTACCAAGGTCAGACAAAAGAATAATTAATCAGACAAAATAAGGAAACTCAAGAACATGAAGTACTGTCACTTGGGGAAGGGGATATTTACCATTTTCTCCAGGCTTCAAACGACCACCAGGAAGTTTGCAGAAGGTGTTTCCAATTTGCAGAAGCAGTATGTGGGGATGGTTATGCTCCTGTACCTGTAAATTCAAAGCCAAATTTTCTCAGGTACATTAAGGCAATTAACTTGGTCCATCTGAAAGGAATCTTGGAAGCTCAGAGTTAATGGCATGCAAGAATGTAAGAGGAACTTAGGAAGAAATGAATCCAAGACTTGCACACTAAAGGACCATTTGGTAACATCTGAAGTGGCTGAACCAAAAAGCTTCTTGCTTTGTCTTTTGGTGAATAAATTTTTAATAAGGTTGTGGGTTCCTCAATGATTGAAGCTCAAGTTAGGTAGATTACTCTACCCTTGAATATTTCATCATTTAATTATTTTATGCACCAAAAGACAAACAAATAAATTGTTCAATTAAACAGCTTCAGCCATTATTAAATGGCACTAAGCTGAGTAAAAGATAAGTTTATCCAAACAGAATACCATAACCCAGTAGGTTTTGTCTTAAAGGATTTTTTTTTTCTTTTGCATTTGATGATAAATGCACAATAGAGGCCATCTTGTTTGGGATTTCTGAAATGTATTGGCATGTGTACAACTGGCATTGCTTAGATTTGGGGCTGCAACTTGGGCAAGCCCAAACTCAGCCCAATCCATCCCAAAATGAACTTTTGCACAGGCTGGAACTGGATTTTTAATATCTGTGCTGGTTCTAGGCCCAAAGACTTGGGTTTGGCCTCAATTCAGATTGGGCATAGGTTGAGGCCTCAGGTAGCTAGATCCTAGTTGGGTTGTCAAGGCCTCAGGTAGTCCAACCCTGGACCACCACTGTTATACACACTCTAAAGCATATTCACAATATGTATATGATCAAACCCAGGCCGACACTCTTGCACATGGGGCTGCAACTTCATTTGGGTTAGCCCGAACCCAAACCGAAAAGTCGGGCTGGGTTGAAGTTCGAGTTAGGCTCAGGGTTGAAAAGTATGAACCCAACTTAACTTCAGATTGGGCTAGGGTTGAGGCTTCAGCCACCCTGACCCAACCTGAACCTGACTTAGCTTCATATTTATATGTATAATTATTATATAAACATGTATTTATTTAACTACTATATATGCATGTATGCTTGTATGTATATATGCAATTATGCATGATGCATTTATAAAGGTATCATGTATCATGTATCTATATTATGCTTATATGTATCTATGTATTTATCTATATGCATGATTGTCTATAAGTATGTCAACAAATATAAATTAGGCAAAATTTTTCTATAGCGTGACAATGGTGTCATTTTGTATATAATAATGATAAAATTAAATTGACCTCAACCCTTGATTGTAGAAAAACAAAAAGAATTTTGACAGAGGGAAATAGAGAATTTGAGTCAACCCTAACCCAGCCAAATCCCAACTCAACCCAAAAACTTTGGGTTGGGGGTTCAACAACTCGACTTACACTAAGGTGATTGTGGGCTGGTTGTTGAACCCAGATTTAATCATTTGGAGTTATAGGGATCTCATAAAAAAGCTAAATGGTTAACAAGACGTATGAAAATTAGAGTCCAATGGGTGGGTAGGGCGTCAAATGCTTTGGCTGACTCTCTTGTTAAACAAGGGTCCTCTAGGGAAGTGTTATATTGGGCAGCTTTGTAATCGTTCTTTTTGAATTCCTATACTGTTTAGGAGAGGTTGCAGCTTGCACCTCTCCAACAGATGCTTGTAAAAGTTTATTCTCTTTGATTAATGAAATTATCATTCAATTATTGAAAAAACATTAAATAGCTAATGTACAGGATGAATAATATTTTTTGTATTAAATGATATTTCTACACCCATTTTTGTAAGTCTGCTACTGTTAGAATGTAAGAAAAATATATATATTTTAATAGCATATACTTTCCTATAAATGCATCCACAAATCCATGTTTTCTCATCTTATGAGGTCAGACTTTTGGGCACATGTCAGATTCCAACTCCCATGTCAGCGTGTCCATGTCCATACAAGACTGAAGGGAACTAGTTGATCTTCCTAAAGAAAATGAACTAGTAGGATTAATATCTTATAGGGAAGGGAATACATGCTTGGATCCTATACCACCAGCACCCCCCTGAAGCTGGTTTCATGGTGGAAAAATGGTTCTTTCATTCAGTCTTAGGAGCACTATAACAGAGAAGCCTTCACTGCTCTTGGTTCAAAGGAATTCTCCAATGTAATTAGATGGAGTGAAGGCTCTGGAACATGCCCATAATGATTATTTCACATGCTGAATGAAATCAGCTACCTCTATGCATTTCTGTTCTGTTGTTTTTAGTTGGGTTCCTAAATATTTGAATGCAATTGTTAATGGGTTATCTAGATCAGGGGTCAATAGAGATTGAATGTATAGCAGTGATGTGGACGCCGGCAGCAGCAGCAGTAAGTTAGTGCAGCAGCAACAGTAATTTAGTGTTCTCAGCAGCAGCAATTTAGTGTTCTCATCCTATCTTATCTTATTCAGTATTCTTACCCTTATCTGATTTCAATAGCAGTGATTAGTAGGAATCTTATCTATTCAGTGTTCTTATCTTATCAGTTCAGTAGTATGGATTAGTAGGGAGTCTTATCTTATCTTATCAGTTCAGTAGGATAAATTAGTAGGGAGTCTTCCTAAAAGTAGGACTCTTATCTCTTGTAATCTCATATTTAAGGAGCTGAGAATATTGAATAAAACCATCAAAATTTTCAGTCAAGAAAGAGAGCAAGGAGAGTTAGGTGATCTCTTAGACAAATCACCATTAGGGTGCCAAGATAGGTTCATCAAGAGCAGGGAGGAACAAGGGAAAACAGGAGGTTTTCCCCGTGGACCGACCCATGACAAGATCCTATTCTCGGGCCCATAACAAGTAGGTCCTTTTTGCAGCAGGAAGGCTTGAAACATAACTTGTAGAGTTGCATTCAGTACAACACTGCAACAAACCATAAGAGATCACTAATCTGTCATTCTTTAAACTATTAATACAGTGTTTTGATCATCAACATCTGTACTATGTATTTATGTTCAATGTTGGCAGAATTTTTTTTTTTTGAACTTTGAATGATGTTGTTGACCATAAATCAAAATTCAAAATTCAATTTAGACAAAAGTGTATGTTAACTATCTAGGTAGTAAGTGCAAGAGGAATCCCATAGGTGGAAGACTGGGTTTTGAAGTTGGACTGAGAAAGAACAAATCCAATAGATAAGTAATTAAAATTAAGGAAAAAATAGAGCATCCAACAATATCAATAGGCCAAAAAGAAATGCAGAATCTGGGTACTGATACTAACCAGTAGAATTGCTTCAACACTTGTCCTCATGCCTTCTTTCATATAGCTGCAAATTATAACATATAAAACTGCTCAATGGACTGCTCAAGATATGACATCACAAAGGAGAAGGACAGACATTTATCATCCAATCCAAACTAAGTCGTATGCAAACACAAATTCGATGAATCTTCTTTTAACTCTTAACATTCATTAATCAAGTCCTCCATAAGCATCATCTTTGTTCTATTACATAGGTAATTGACTATATTTTATCCCAAATACAAATCTTTAGGTCCCTACCAATACTAACAATACAACAAAGTCAAATCAGTCCTCTGTTTCATTAGCAGGTAATATAAATAAGTAGATGACCCATATTACATCCACCATTAATAATAAACTTATGATAACTTGATAAGAACTGGAGGCCCCTTGGCTTCGTATGAACCCATTTTTCCTTAATTGATCTATAAATGTATTCATTAACAATAACAACAACAATAATAATAATAAAACAAATGTTTCTGATCTTTATATGCATATGCTACACTATTATGTGGAACTAACCAGGGCCCTCAACTGAAATCAATTCAACAAACTATCTTGCTATACTCCTATAAATATGCTCATTTCTAACCCTATATGAAATTCCTGTCTCTATAAATAATGAAATGCTTAACAGAAAGAGCCAACATCCATAAAAATAAATAGAAATTTGAACTGAACCAAGTACTCGCAAAATGGAAATTTAAGCAATACCAGAAACAAAAACGCTGGTCAAAACTCAAATTAAAACCACCAAGTCCACAGAAGAGAAACACTAGAAGAAGTAAAACCAGATAGAACATTGAAAATGAAAGATTTAAATTTTGAGAAATGCAGTAGAGAAACACCAGGGGCATAAAAACTAACGAAGGCACCGGCATCTAGGGTTTCGATATTAGAGAAGTGAGATCGAAGAAAATGCAAAACATAGTTGATCATAGTATTCGAACCCTAGAGCTTTCAATATTCCACTGTTCGTTCTATTCTGCGTTGGAGAGATACTTACTTGACTTTCATTCGAGCGAGACGATCTGCGACTGAAGTGTCTTTCTCCATCTTCGGCTCCTTCGTTCCGAAGGTGTAGCTTGACAGAGGGTACGTGTTCACCACCGACGAATTAACCATGTCTGTCAATCGTAGCTCGTCCGCTTGCTCGCTCGTGTACGCTGCTCCCTGCTCGACCGCTCTTTTCGTCCTCGAAACAAAGTGAAATTTTCAAATTAGGACCCTGTACTTTGATAATCTCATTCGAACTTCGAAACGCATAAATCCATTCTTTCTTTCAAAAACTGTCAATCTATTCCTCGCCCTTAAGAGTTCGTGAATTATTTTTTAGGGTAAAATACACAAACCTCCCCTGAAATTTCTGACAATTATAAAAACCTCCCCTATAGTTTCACTTTAGCAAAATCTCTCTCTAATTTTGAAGAAATCAACAAATACCTCCCTTCTATCAATAACCAAAACGGAAAACGTTAAAAAGATGGTCATTTTTTTCAAAATACCTATTTTACCCTTTTACAATTAATATGCATCTGTTTTTACTAAAATAACCTTGTCTCAGCAACACTATAATCCCTCGAACACTGCTCATCTTCTTCTTCACGACGCACAACAGTAGAGGAACCATAAGTCTATCCTTGGCTGACCCCATCCCCAGATTAAACAGATTCACATTGTGAGGCTTGCACTCCTGTACTTCAACATTTAGATTATTCTCAACCCCTTCAACATCATATTCATTGTTGTTGCTAATGGCGAAAGATCCACTCGTCGTTGTTGATGACATAGAAGGGTAGCTCTCAAGGTGGAGCTTATTGGAAAATGCCTCTTCCTGGTTAATGACGGCAAGCCAAGTCGCAATCTCCTTCGATGTCATCTTGTCCTACAAGCCAAGGCGTGAAGATCGTCAGAGGCTCCACTCACAAGCTTCCCCTTCTCCGGAATGATGCCATAAACAAAGCCTTGAGCTTTATAGAATCTATTATCTCTCACATATCGCAAGAAATCCAAAGCGGATCATCAAATTGAACCATGAGCCTATCTCCCACCATGGTCTCCATTGACAGCCGACCCACATCCATCTCCCCCATCGTTGAATTCCAAGGTTGGGGTTCCATCCTCATACTCGTTCCACATTAGCCTCTTCAACCCACTTCCGTCCAATCTCACCACGTATAGATCACCATATGGCTGAAATTGATTTGACATGGACACCGGCTCCGCCAATACACCACCCAAACTGGTGAGAACTTGCAAGGCAATCTTCGTTGATACCAACGACTTTGAAGAAGGAGAGAGAGAAAGAAAGAGCTCACACGATTCAGCATTCACATTGCCGAGTAGAAAGAAAGAATTAATTTGCACTACAAATAGACCTAATTGTCTTGTTCTGAGACAATGAGAAGGGATGGGAAAAAGGAAATGGAATATCAGATGGTCGACTCTGTAATTTCATGTGTTGTAACTAAGCTGGGCGATTTACTTATTCAAGAAGCAGTTTTGTTGTCCGAAGTGAAAGACCAAGTTGAAGGGCTTCAAACTAAACTGAGGAGGATGCAATGCTTCTTAAAAGATGTAGATACAAATTAACAAGAAGACCAATGGGTCCATAACTGGATTTCAGAAATTCGAAAGGCTGCTCTCAAGGTGGAGACAATTGTCCTCGACTATATCGAAGTAGTAAAAGTAGCACAGCAGAAGAGCTTTGTGAAAAGGTGTCTTTGCATCGTCAAGGAAGGTGTAGATCTCCACAACTTTGGAAAGAAAGTTGAAAAAATCCAACGGAAGATGGTTAACATCTCTAGTAGTCAAGAAAATTATGGAATTAGAAATATTGGTGAAAGAATATTAGAACAGGCAGGAGGCTCTTCAGCTAAGATGCAACAATAGTTGGGATGGAGCTATTCACATGTTGTCGATGAAGATGTTATTAGTTTCCCGTCCATCGACCAATTGGACGGATCTCCCAGACCTAAACACTACGAACTTGTCGCCATGTGAACACGATGAAAATGCATTGTCACAGGTTTGAGATGCAGAACGATTGAGTGGTGGTTGAATGCGATCAAGTCACCATCGGGAGAACACGAAGGGAATGATCCGTTAAGCTGGAGAATTCTCAGCTCCGTCACCGGAGAAGTTATAGGTTTGAGATGTAGAACGATAGAGTCCCCTGAAGCCGGATCACCTCGGAATCGGTGGTATCCAAGAAAACCTGATTTTAGAGAGAAAAAAGGATTGTAGTGGTGAAATTTTGGGTTTATAGTCTCCGTTACCCTGCAAAATGACTCTAGCTCTAGATCAAAGATCTCGATGTGCCTAAAGTTATTCTCTCGCCGCCGAGTCGCAACAGCAATTCGTTTGCCGTCATGCGATGCCGCTGGAGTAAATGCATGGAGTCCTGGTGGGGTAACCTGACAAGGAGCTTTAAATACATTGGAAAGTTGGAAATTTTCTGGAAGATGCTCCACCATCCTAAATTTGTAAAAGGGTATATGAAAAAAAATGAAATTTATAGAAGGGCAAAATAGGTATTTTGAAAAAAATGTCTTTAACGTTTCCCGTCTTGATTATTAATTGAAGGGAGGTATTTGCTAAAATGAAACTATAGGATAGAGATTCTTATGATTGTCAGAAACTTCAGGAGAGGTTTTTGTATTTTAAAAAATGTGAAAAATACCATTTCAAAGAAGACTTGGGGCCTGTTTGTTTCTTCTTCTCTTATCTAAGGGCATTCCTTTTTTGGATTTTGAGAGGAGGAAAGTTGGTCAATAGAATTTTGATTCCCATTGACCAAGAAACCCATGTTCAATTTTCATATTTATGTGGGGATCAGTGAAAGTTTATTTTCCTGGGTATCCTATGTGGGTAAATTAACTTTCCCATCTAGGGGAAAGTTGTCAATACTTAGAGTACACAAAACAGGGGTATTTTGGTCATTTGGGTTTATCTATTTGAGAGTGAAAGGTCTGTTTTATTTAAGTTTAAGTTATGTGTCCCATCACCTATGAGGGACAATATGGTCCTTCTTGTAACTATGTTATTGGAGATAAATACAAGTGGGTCGACTAGAGAGAGGACTGATTTTCCTCTACTAGTCGAACCCTTCTTCTTCTTCTTCTCCTTCTTCTCTACTGTAACCTAGGACTAAATAAGGTTTTCACATGGTATTAGAGTGCATGTAACAAGTTCAGATCTGCTCGTCTTGCTCTTTTATTCTAGTTTACCCAGTTTTTTTATCGCCCTCCTCTCTAGGGTTTTGCAGATTTCTCAAGAACCACTGGGAGATTAAGGGAAAAGTTGAAAAGGAGTGGTTGTTTTTCTCTGTAGGAGGCCTTCAAGCCTCTGGTTTGTAGTGCAGTGGTTATTTGTGGTGATTGGTAGGAAGATCTCTATTCGATGGTGTGAAGAGAACAGGTTCGGGTGAACAGTGTTCAGCTGAGTACAAGTTGGTTCTGCAAAGTGTAGTGTAAGTGTTTGGTTTAATGGCCGAGTGATTTCAGCCCTTGTATTTGGTGTGTGAATGGTTCTGCAGTGTGCAGTATAGGTGTTTGATTTAATGACTAAGTAATTTCAACTCTTGTATTTGGTGTGTGAGGGTTCTGCAGTGTGCAATACAGGTGTTTGATTTAATGACAGAGTGATTTTAGCTTTTGTATTTGATGTGTAATGTGTATTTGAAGAAGTTGGTGGTGCTGAAAGTGAGATAAGTTTTGTGGAAGTGCGTGAGGTTGTGTTGAATATGTGAAGGTGAATACTCTACATATAGTAGTGATTTCTTTGTGAGGTAAGGTGAATTAGTGAAGATGGCATCGATTGGAGATGGGAATGACAATAAAACAGGCGTTATGATATCTCCAGATTACCTAAATGTTCAATAGACATCTATTCAGTTGAATGGTGAGAATTATATGCCGTGGGCAAAATGTAAAACATGTGAGAGAGGAGAAACTCTCCTCTGATTCTCTAGGGTTTAGTGATTGGGAACAAGAAGATGCACAAATAATGACATGGTTGTGGAATAGCATGGAACCAAAAATTAGCGTGAACTTTATGTTCCTAGATACAACTAAAGAAATCTAAGATCATGCTAAGAAACTATATTCTAGGCAAGACGATGCAAATAGAGTGTATCAGTTGTACTAAGAGTACATTAATCTGAAGCAAGGTAGTCAAATCTTGGAGGAATACTATACAAGTTTGAGGAATATCCAAAATGAGCCCAATGTGTATCATCCTCTGACACAGGATGTTCAGATTTAGCAACAACAGCGTGAACAGCTTGATGTGACAAGGTTTCTAGTGGGTTTGAAGGCTGAATATGAGCCTGTCCGAGCACAAATACTGGGAGGGTCTGCTCTTCCCTCACTTGAAGAAGTTTTTGCCCGTCTTAGGAGGACATCTATTGAGTCTATAGAGCATTCTTCTCTCTCAGACAGATCTGCTTTTGTGGTGACTAGAGGGGGAGGCCTTGGAAATAGAGGTGGTGGTGGTGGTGATGGTCGTGGACTTCCAAGTAACTATGGTGGTCCCATGTTTAACCGTGCTGGTGGCCAGAGTGGAGGTCGGGACTCAGGGGGAGGTCGTGGTAAAGGAAGAAGTAATGCCCCTAGTAAGTGTACATACTGTGGATTAGAGGGGCACACGGTTAATTTCTGCTATGATTTACATGGTCCACCCAACACTTGGGATAACCATACTGTGACTAAGGGTAGTGGTACAGCTACTAAAAGTCAGCGAACTAACCCGATCCCCTCCACATCTACTGGTGTTTCTGGGAAGGAGATGGTGAGTGTACCCCGTGCAGTATATGAGCAGTTCCCTCATACATCTTCTCAGCAGAACACAATTACCCTTGCCCATTCAAGTATGGCTTGTTTGGCTTCCAAGCCTTCACACTGGATTATTGACTCCGGAGCCTCGGACCATATGTCTGGGACTCCTAATGTATTTTCTTCTCTTTCTCGGTCTTCCACATCTCAAATAGTTACTCTTGCTAATGGTTCTACATCTCC